TTACGATCGACAGCGTCGCGTCGCCGCGCCATCCGTCTCCGTCGACGGTCCTGTGGCCGCTCCGCCGACCCCAGGTGCTGCTCGGGCGGCTAATTTCTGCTCGGTAATGACCTGTCACGGGCAACAAGACGAATCCACCGGCGCCACGGCTGCTTGACGGCGCCGACCGCCGTCGCCTAGGGACCGGCCGCTCCGCTCCAGCGCCGTAATAATCGCTGCAGAGGTCGGCGGCGACGGTGGTTGGAGCCTCAGCGGTAACGGAGACGGATCCAGAGCTAAATGAACGGGATATATCGCTAGTAAGACGTCAGGTCTTATCTGAGGCTATTCTTATCTTGGCAGTCACCGACTGATCGCCGCCCCGTCACTTTGCGTTCTGTTCCGGCCAACGGCACTGCCTTCTATTTTCCGTCCGACGACCACTGCGTGCCAGATCGGATCAGGCATTGCTTTTACCGCTTTCTCTCGTCTCCTCCCCGGCGCCAATGTGTCTGCCTCTCCGGCCGCGCCCGCCCCCGCCCCCGCCCCGCCCCGCCTCCGCCCGGGGCGGCGCAAAAAGTGTTCAATTAGGGTCGGCGGCGCTGGCTGGCGGCCGGAGGCTGGCTCGTTACGCCCTCCGACCTCACCTGGGCCGCGTGGGAACGCCGCACGCGCCCAGTAATGGACGACGACGCCGCGTCGCCGCGTCATTAACGCCGCCAGCGGCGAGCGGGGCGCACTGTCATTGTCCTACGCCGGCGCACCGCAATGGCCGCCGCTGCGCCGTCCTCGGTATGCGGTGTTCTGTTCTGACGGAACCTTTCCTCTGTTGGTGATTCTAATATGTTTCAACCACTTCTCACAATAGGTCAACAAGATCTCCTGATGTTTCTTGCCGTCTTTCTTTCGACACTACTCAGCCTCGGGTAACGGCGAATTAGCGTTTCTGACGCACCATTCGCTACGCCCGCTTGGCCAAAGACGCGTGAACCTTTTTCATTCGCCGTTCGACTCGGCTTTGAGCACGTCCGTGCCGCCCTCTTTAGCACTCCCGGTCGGCTCGGCTGGTGATTTTAGCGTGGCGCGCGACAGTCCCGTGTTGGCGTGGGCCGTGCCGGCTGAGCGGTTGTGCCATATTTTCCGACTATGGCTGTGCCCGGAGTTGGAACGGCCTGCATCCCCACGGGGACTAAGCGGCGGCGGCCCGGCCCCTCCACCCCGGCCATCGGTTCTGCTGCCTGCGGCGGCGGCACGGGCGCCGGCCGAGCGGTATTCTCTGGCCGCGCCGCCGGCCAGCGCTCATGACTAATGCAGCCGGCGAGAAATCATTTAACGGACGTCGGCGGACATGGCCGTTTCTTTTGTTTCATTCATCTTATCGGCCGATCGGTAATCAGGCGGGACGTCGGAAGAATCCTCGCCTCCCGCGCCCGGTAATTACCAGGAGCGGCACACACTTGAGGCGCGCCGGAGAAGAAGAAGTATTATTGCCGTGGACGGACGAGCGCCGACGGGAGAACGCCCCGGGGCAGAGCGCTCGGCGGCGGAGGAACGCCCGGGGGCATGGCGACAGGAGCAGCGCGAGCGGCGGTCGCACCGCGGCTCCGCGCATAGCTTCCCAGATAAATATGTATTCCACTTTCAACGGCAGGACTGGCTAACAAGGTGCGCAAACAAGGGCAATCTTGTAGTAGGCCCCCCTGGGAATGACAATCAGGTTGCGCGATGTTTTCCTCGCGTATTGCCATGTGGGGCTCGCTAAATAGGCGGCCGGCGCGCCCGGGGCCGCGGGCCGCTCTGGCAGGGGCTGCCGGCCGCCCCTCGGTAACTGCAGCAGTGGGCACAGCTGGGGGAGTCCTCGGTACGTGCTACCGCAGACTCGCTGCAGGGGAATCCTCGGGGCATAGTCGTGCGCCGGGCGGCCTGCGAGGGGACGGTTGGTGCTGGTCTGGTGACTGGTGAGTGGGGACATGCTTTGGGGGCCGCTCAGGCAAAACAGTGCGGCGTGAAACGGGTGCGGCGTGACAATAAATCAGCATACATGCTTGTTGTGCGGAGTAGAACACAAGCACGATGCTGCGGAAAGCTTGCGTTCGGAAAATTTTGAGAATATATCCACGCCCGGACGAAAAAATCTTATTTGCTTTTCCTTAGCGACCGACCACTCGCCAGCGGACTCTCTAGAGCCGCCGTAATTAATTTCACGCGGCTCTAACGGGCCGCTGTTGACCTGCCGTTGTCATAGTAACCGACGGATGGCGCGCACAACAGAGCTGCGGCCGCTGCTGCGGAGCCCCGCTGCGTTCTGCACTAAAACGACCGGACATGGTACGACTGGATATGCACTTAGCCAAGTTGCAAGCTCGGCGCAGCAACTCTTCGGAGAACTTAGCGGAAAACCGCACAATGCTGAACAATTAAGTGAGTTGGTGAGCAGGTAGATTGGGATTTCGACCGCATTTGCGGGGTTGAAAATGCATGTTTAACCGTTTAATTTTATTCATCAAATTATCAGAGTATGTGGTTAAATGGAATTTCTGATTTTGTTTAATCATTTTTATGTTGTTTTTGTTTGTGTGCCAGGACTTGGGCCAAAGACTTCTTTTAAACGTTTAACGAGAAAAGTGAACGCGAGACAAAAGTAAGCCTGGCACCTTTTTAACGTCTCGAATCTCAATACATGTATATAGCGGTAATGGAAAAATAGAGCGAAGAGAAGGCTAAAGGAAATATTTCTACGGGTGAATGAACTTCTAAGTATTCCTGTGACATGTAATGTATCATTGAAAGGAGGCGAGCTGCCTGACTTCCCTTCCCACTCTTCCTCACATCGCCAATCGGCAACAGTCTATTCCCTTAGCCGCAGCCGTTTCGCTTCGTTCCTCTTTCGGCCGCCGCCCTGATAGAGTTACATGATTTACTGGCCGAGATGGTGGCGATGATTTGTCGTCAGTTGATTTCCGACGTCAGACTGACCGAAACGTGCCTGGAACTGGTCAGAGCCGCTCGGTGGATCGTCCGCCCACCACTCGTGCCCCAGGGCTACCCACAGACCTACCCAGAAACAAAGGGGTGGCTAATACGGCCGCGGGCATGAGCCCTCCATCAAGGCGCGTCCCGACCGGCGCTGATTAGCGGCGGCGAGCAGCGGCGCGGCCGTGCACCGCTCGTCGTCTCACCGCGCCGTATCCGCCGCCACCGCCTTATTACGGCAGAGCTGCCGCGGATTAGGGCGTCACGCCAGGGTTTTATTAGGGGGCACGCCACAGTGCGGCCGCCGCTGACCACTCGGCCGTCCACTTTTCAATCGGGACCTCTAATAAAAATGTACGCCAGGTATGGCCGCGCCGGCCGCCGCGACAAGCCTCCATTACGTCTGTACGGTAATGTGCGAGCAGCGCGAGCGGTCACGTGCGCGCAGCAGGGCCTGCGCCGGCCGCGGGGCACGGCATCATCGGCACACCGCCATCGCGATGCATTTTGCATCGGCGGCCGGCGGCGCTATGGCCGCTGCCGACCGGTCCCGGCTCTGGCGGTCGGCGAACTCTGCACAGTCGCGTGGCAGGCACCATGGCAGGGATAGGGGACAGGCGACAGCCACCAGTAGCCTGCTACTCGGGGGTAGGGTGGGGAGGGAGAGGGTTCAGAGAACGGACAAGGAAGACTGGTGGAGCCGTGATGCTTTCTTATTGTGTTTGAGTGACGAGAAAAAGAAGGGCCATGAATTATGCCAATATTGAATCATATCTATCACGATTCATGATCATCAGTGAAGTTATTTAGTATAATTGATTGACTTGGCTACATGCCTTACGCCTGACTGAAACCTTTGAGCTAACTTACAAAGATGCTACCTCTGCTTGTTCACTTCAAAGTGGTCTGACAGCCAGGACACTAACATCCTTACAACATTATAATACCACTAATGGCAGCAATGAATAGTACCCATTGCTCAGCGCTTACAACACATAGGGTGTCCTCCCAAACCCACATTGAAGGGTGCGTCACACGTATACCCAGCGGTTAAAAATTGTCCGTCTCTACCAAAGGTCACGGCAATGCATCAGCGTGGATGTGGCGGCCGCTGGCCAGCTGACACCGGTCGGAGACCAGCTGACATTTGGCGTCCTCCGTGATGCGTCACGGCACCCCTCCCCTCCCCCTCCCCTCTGTCCCCGTCATTGTGGGGCTGCCCGGCGCCGGCGGCCGCAGAGTTCAGAGATTAGAAATATGATTGAGCGCTGGCCGCCGGTGTCAGGCACCCACATGGGGGTGTGTGGATTCTCCGGGAGCGGGGTCCCCCTCCCCGGTCGGCGGCCTCCCGGGGCTCCCTCCCCTGCCCTCTCCCTGGGGGCTCCCCTCTTCCGCCGGCTACGTCCGGACTTCCAGTCGGACGGATTAATTCGGTAGTGGGACCGGTGGGGTACAGAGGGGCGAGGACAGAGGGACGGGGACAGAGGGACGGGGACAGAGGGACAGACGGGAGGAGGACGAAGGGATGAGAGGGTAGAGGGACGTGGGAGGTAAGATGGAGGAGGTAGAGAAGTAGAAGGATGGATGAGCCAGAATTACATTTAGACAGTTCGCTTTCCTGTGACCTGTTACCAAACAATTCCGTTGCATCAGAGACACAAATTTGTGAATGTGAACTATGGAAGAGAAACTACTTTGCCTAACGATCTCACGGTCCTTCACCAGCATTCTCCACCCATTCGTGCGTGTGGAACTAATGGAAAGACAAAAGCCAAACAGAAGAAGAAGGAAATTTCAAGATAGTCCCGGAAGAACCGCGCCGCCCGCTTGGTGACACCTCTCGTCAGTTTTCTCACGAATGCGACATGCCTGATCAGTGCTTCCGACTTTGAGTGAGCGACAGTACCAGAGCAGGTGCTCGGTTCTGACGGAACAGAGCCACATCCAGGGTGCACTATAGTCTCTGCCGTCCCGTCCCAGGGTCTGCCCGGAGGGGTGCGGGGCTCGGCGGCGGTGCGCGGGGGAGGGGGCGAACGGACGCCACTAACCATTGGTGACTGGAACCGACCAGGGCTGGCCGCCGCCGGCCGGCGCGTACGGACCGCTCTCTGAAAACCGAGAGCCCCACCGCGCCTTCAGAACACGACAACAGACATGTGGCGTCACAGGGCCCAGACGAGCCGGGCGGAGAGCCGGACAGAGCTGGAGCGGGACAGAACGCTAACGCGCTCCGCTCGGCCGGCCGGGAACACCAAGTTTTAGTTTCACCGGCGTGCGGAGGATTTTCTCAAATCGGCTCGTCAAGGGAACTCGAAAGTTGTTGGCGACAGTTCGTGACAAACAATTTGGCGACAGGGACCAGTTACAGCTTAACAAGAACGGGTGTTAAAGAGCGAACGGCCGACTTGTACATTATGCATAGTGTCCGGCCGGTCTGCAGCAACATTCCAGCGCTCAGCCGGCGCTTTATGATGATGAGACCGTACAGGTGCGGTGGACGTTTGAGCCTTTAATATCGACCGGCTATCGGGGGACCGGCGCCGGCTCTCTGCGCCGCGCCAATCGGACGGCCGCGACGCGGTGTGTTAGCGATTCTGAGAAGTGATTGGGAAACATGACTGGTAAATGACCGCCGCTCGGGCAATGGATGGACATACAGCTGAATAGACAATGTCGGCGGCGATCGGACCGGACGGGACGGCGGCAGCAAATGTCAGCTCCCCGGCGGCAGCGCTGTGCGGGACGTCCCGGCACGACAATAGGGGGGGGGGGACAGTGGGACGTGGCTGGGGACATGAGTTAGGGGTGAGGGAATAGGAAACAAGAAAGGAGGCTCGAGGAAAGCATGACATACATGTAACCCTCTGCAGGTCGGTGTCCATTGGATGTATTATCACAGAGACTGCTGGATTATCAGCGGAACAGGATTCCGAGTTTTGTGGTAAAGGTGGCCGGATGGGGTAAGGTCGGGTCAGGTCACAGACGGTTTCCCGTGTCCCACCCCGTTCAGCTACTCACCCTGCCAGGCGTCGTGCCGTGAGCCACCTGCGGACAAACGAAATCGTCAGAAATCGGCTCACAGACACAGCCGAACATGAACGTAACTCAGCAATCAATGCATCGCTAGCGGTGAAATAAAAACGACAAAAACTTAATTAGGTACATGTGACGACGCAGGGTAAGATACACTATACAGTGGCTATTCGGGTATCAGGTTTGGTGATTGCTTTCTTATGACGGTGCATAACCGTATCCATGCATAATGAAGTCATATTTTCTTCAGAGTACCGAGCTCCGAGCCAATGCATAAGTGAGCCAGCGTATCATCAGGGAGTTATAGCGGGTCCAAATTATACATCAAATATCTATCCACAAATTGTTAGTCTCTATTAAATGTTCCATGACCTTATGATGGAATTATAGCCGGTTCCCAAGCTGGAACTAAATGGCAAGGGTGCACTAAACGGAGACGTTCCGTTTTTGTGAGCGCAACTCATATCAAATTCAGAACTTCACTTGACGTTTAGTGTACCCAGTTATGCATGGTTATTTCATTGGTTTTTCAGATAATACTGAATCTGCACACCGAACTGAATGACAATTGGCAAAGCTGGCAGCTTACTGGCATAGCTCAGTAAAGCCGTATCTATTGGAGTGCATCATGCCCACTGCCCAGTTCACTCTCCTCGCTACAAGCGTACCGGTCACAGCAGACAAAAGTGATTAAAATAAAATCGAACGGGTGCCCTGAAGCAGTGAAGTCGACGATTTCTATGAAACTATCTTGACGAGAGGACACGATGGGTGTTTTGTGCTAACCGGGTGTTTTGATCGCTCTGTAAGTGTGACGTCACTCTGCCAGTGTGACGTCACGGCCGGTCCGTTTGACACGGCGCCAGGGACTGCGTGGCCGTGGCGTGGCCGTCGGTGCGACAGTCGCGGCGAATTCGACGCGGGCGGTGCGCGGCGTGTTTGCCCCACCTGCCAATGTGACAGCTGACAGCTGACACAGCTGGTGTGTTTACCTTTTGACTCGGACCGCGGCGAGGTCCGCAGCGGCGCTGAACGCCCCGACCTCGCCTCGCAGGCCAGAACGACTTTTGGTTCTTCGAAAATCGTTCTCCTCTAGAAAAGTCTGGCAGAACAAAGACTAATAAAACATTTATGAGCATTTATAAAGCACTTATAAGCTATGAAAGATCAGGCTTTTATCTGTGAAGATTCAAGTAAAGCGCTAAGGGCACCGTCTCTCATGTTCACATTGTATGGACACCGAACAGGTAATAATCACGGTAGGTAGATCCCCCGGCGAAAAGTCGGTGAATTTTCGCTCGCGTGCCGGCCGGCGAGGCTTACCCGGCTCCTGTCTGAGGCTCATTTGGCCTTCTGAGCTGGTCATCGGCTCGGCAGGATCAGCAGTCATGCCATCGTCGATTTCGCTGAACAACATCAGGTACGAGGACGTCGTCATCATTCAGACAGCCGCCCAGGCGTCATGTGTCGGCGATCGGGGCCATTGGGCACGGGCTGCTGAACACTGGACCCTCAGCGGCAGGAGCAGCGCTTTTGGAAATCGGTCCCGCAGTTCGCACCGCTAACATAGAAACTATTTGAATATTTTATTCGTACAGGTGTAAGACATAAGACGTGCGTCACCAACACATCGTCACTATCGCATATCTTTATGCGTCCTTCTATGAAACAAAAATGACAGGCATCTATCTTATCTACCTGAAAAGAATATTGAAAAAGAATACAAGAATACTCCGATGCCCCTCGCTTGGCTCTACGGTACAATTTTGCAGCTGCCTCGTGTTCCTGCCGTCGAGTTCCGCTCGTCAGCGTCTCTCTGAGCCGGCGACCGCGCCTGGGGTCGACTGAAATGCCGCCTTCCGCCTGGGGAGCGGCTTCACTCGAGACAGCGCGCGCTCGTAATTACGTGCCTTCATTCAGCATCCTTGAAGCAGAACACTACAGGCAAAAGAGCAGATAAATTGGATCAGATTGGCCACGGATTGCTCCTGAAGAATGAGGTGGGTGTCTTTATTCGCCATCTTTGGAAGGGCGACCAGCAATAGGGATCTGGCGCCTTTATTATTTGGTCAAAAAGATGAAATCATCATAAATGTGATATTAGACGGTAGCTCTTGCCTCACGGAAGACAATGTGAAACGTATCTACTCAGATTCGATTGCGGTATTAGAGAAACTGCGATATAAAAATACAAGAACCTCCTTAATGCTTACAAAACGTAATGAGAGATATTTCTCTCAATTTATCAAGTTTGTTACTTTTTTTACTTTTACATACTCTGATTAAATGTGCTGCATAGCCTGCGCCATCGCTGAAAGTCATCGCTGATCGCTCAAAAGCGGACAGGAGACCGTTATAGGTGCCCCCGCCAGAAACCCATTTAACCGACGTCAACAGGGAATTAGTGGGGACGAGCGGCTGAGGGCTAAGCTGTGCTCTGCGGCCGCGGCGCATAAACATGGAGCCGGGCGGCTCGCGTGCCGACTGCCGGCCGCCATTGCGCCCGCACGCACCCGGCCCCCGGCCGACCCCGCCGCCGCAGTCGCAGCCGACGCCACAGCGGGCTGCACCGTCGGCCAGGGCCCGCCTCACAACGCAGGAGCACAGAGTCTACGCTGCAGGTCCCCGGCGTAAAATTCAGCACAACCGACGAAATGGTCTCTTCATAGTCGGTGCTCGCTGGAGCTGCGCTGGCGGTGGGTTGGTTGGGTCACGTTTTGCAGCGGCGAGGGCCTTTGTCTGGGGCTGGGTGCTGGGGACACTTTGGAGTGACGGAAGCGCCGTCGGACGGGCCATCATTAGTGTGTCCCCGCCGACCCAAATGTCGGCCGTCGGTGCCGACAGCACTGTGCCGACCATCAGCGGTCAGAAACGTGCCTCCACCGCCCGCTCCACCCTCCAGCCGTCCGGCGGACCCGGCGCCCCACAGGCCAACACCCAGCAAAGCGGACCCAACGCGCCGCCCAAAGGAGCATGATAACATACGGTCATCCACTGAAAGCCTGCCTGTTGTCCGCCGTGCCAGCCGACCTGTGCAATGCACACACGGGCCGGGACACTGGCTCAAAGTGCGGCTCCCATGGCGGCCCAATCGCGTGAAAGGACCGCCGGTGGGCGCGGGTGGGCGCGGGTGGGCGCTGCATGGCTCCTGCCGAGCGGCGCCGACCGGCCGGCCGGTCCGCCGTGCAGCTGAATGGCGCACCGACAGGCCTTTGTCGCCGCCGACGAGCCGCCGCCGCCGCCGCCGCTGCGCCGGTTTGGTCGTCGCTAGGCTGACGTCACCGTCCGGGCCGTCTGACCCGCGCTGCAGTCTGACCCGCCGACCCAGCTGGCGAGTGCAGAAGCTGCACTGGACTGAGCTGCGTGGAGACTGGGAGACTGTGCGTGCGGTGCGCCTTCTCCTCTGTCTGTCTTATGGGTCGTGGGAGGGTTTGTATACAGGGATTTTCGGTAATGTTTCAGATTTGCCCGGCTCCGGAGAAGCGCGCTGAGTTCAGCGGAGGTCTTCTCTCCTCGACTTCGTCGCACCAGCGGAGCCAGGCTGAGCTGTCTGAGCCGGCATAAATTCGGCCTCGTATGCGCCCTGATGTGACGCAGAGGGAGGCGGCGGGTCAGGGCCGGTCCGGGCCGGAGGCGGGGGCGGGGGCGGGGGCTCGTCTTGCCGCCGACCCAGCGCGGGCGGCCTCGTTCGCCTCGGGCGCTCCGGGTCGCCATGGCAACGCAGTGACAACAGACACGGCGGCCGGCGGTGCGGCGGTGGCGCAGGGCTGAATGTCGGCGGCCGCCCGCCGACCGGTGACAATATCTTCTAATGGCGAGCGGCGCGCCGCGCTGTCCGGCCCGCCGACCGGTCGGCGCCCGCTCAAAGCATCTCATTAATGGATAGTTGAGACCGCCGACCGCCGCCCTGGATTCATATGGAGTGTGGCGGCGGCCGGCAGAGGGAGGGGGTAGGGTGGGGTGTATGAAGGAATGGACTCCGGTGGGCCTCATAAGGCTATGGAAACGGTTATGTGCTGTTAATGACAATAATGCAATCATTGGTGCCCAGTCCCACTGCCCAGTACCTAACCTTGCAGACAACGCTGTTGGCCATCCGAGGGCTTTGCTTTTTTCGGGCCATTTATCCATGAATGTTATCTGAAAACCAGTACCTACCCACGCTTAGAACTTTGAATCTACATGATTCGTTTTGTGGCGTCAGCTCAACTTCTTGACCTTTGAAAGGTCAGCCATTAGACCTGGACAGTGGACATGCACTCGAAGATGTGTCAAAGAAAACTATATGAAGATTATGAAAAGTATAATCTTCGATATTTTAACTAGATCCAGAACCTGACAGAGGAGCCACTTCAGCTTGGCACGCATTACAGTTTACAACTAGCCCGTTTGTTTGGACACTCATCAAGTAAGTCATCTGCCTGTTTGCTGCGTATTGGGCCGTCGTAAAGAGATACCCGCAGCAGTAGAACACAGGACCGAGCATGGTTGAAGCTCTCGCATGCGTCAACATAGGTATGCCTCGCATGCCGCATACCAGACTGCGCTCGAACCAGTTGACGAGGCAGGACGTTCCAACTTCCAATCCGATGTACTTACTAGAATGCTGGTCTCTGCACCGCGTATAGGCTACTTCGCTGACCGCTGATCCACCGCAAGTGAGCTTTTGGGACTTCGATCAGGATATTTCACAGAATCGTTACGTGGTCAGAAGTGTCACGTGACATTCCAATAGAAATGATCGGTTCTTGGCCCGACCCGTGTAAAATGAGAGAGTGTTTGTCTCGACATAACTAGCTCACTTTTAGATTTATTTATGCAAAAGCCGACTTTTATTAAGCGATTAATGAATATACTTAATTCAGAGTTAATTCATACTTGTCCAATATGAAGTGCATCAGCTGAGTGTATAGGTATAACTTATAGATATCGGTAAGTCAGTGACTGCCCGGGCAGCTCGAGAACTAGGGCTTGACCCTGTCTAAATTAACAACCAAAAACCTTACCGCTCC